AGCCTATGGCCTTTCTCCAGTATCATGCATCCCTAGCCTATGGCCTTTCTCCAGTACCATGCGTCCCTAGCCTATGGCCTTTCTCCAGTATCATGTGTCCCTAACCAATGGCCTTTCTCCAGTACCCTGCATCCCTAACCTATGGCCTTTCTTCAGTACCATGCATCCCTAACCTATAGCATTTCTCCAGTACCATGCGTCCCTAACCTATGGCCTTTCTTCAGTACCTTGCATCCCTAACCTATGGCCTTTTTCCAGTACCATACTATGGTCTGTTAGATACTGGCCTGCATGCAAGAAGTGGGAGCTAGATGGTGAGCCAAGCCCTTTCTGTGTTTATAGCTGCTCTCACAACTGGACTCACTGCCTGAGCTTGGCCTTCTGGGACATGAGCAGTGATATTAGGGTCTCATAGGAGCTTGAACCCTACTATGAACTGCACAGGGAAGGGTCTAGGTGTGTATTTCTTGAATCCTCACAAAATCAATTCTCCTCTCCTCCCTCCTGAACTTTTCTCCCTTCCAGCTGTGGAAAACTGTCTTCCATGAAACTCCCTGATGTCAAAAAGGTAGGAACCGCTGTTCCATGGACTAAGCATAACATGGTAATGCTTACAGAAACTACAAATGTGTTCCACTTGGAAACCCCACTTTGGGTCCTTCCCGTGTATGTCTTTGAGTGTGTGCGTAAGAGAAGTCACCTACTCCGGAGTCTTGTGTGTGATTGCATATGCCCACATGTTCTTCAGAAGATGTTACTTATATGCCCTTTCACAGGAACAGGTGCTCTGCATGTGCATGTACTCTGTGCTCAGGTTCCTCTCAACGTTCCCCTGCCTGAGCTGAACCCTGGATTAAAGGTGCCAGAGCTTACAGAATCTCTTCCCTGGGGGCCAACAGGGGCCCCTCAAAGAGTCTCCTCAAGCTGCAAGTCCTGGCTGGCTACTGAGCCTGTCCTGCCTGGAAGACCTCACCTGTGCATGGAAATCCTGCACCTCCAAGCTCCTTTCCCGGGTCAGTCCTTATGAACACACTGTTCACACCTAACACTCATTCATGAGCTATCAGCTGGTGCCTCCCAGACAGGAAGACAGACCTACCAGGAAGTGAGAGGACAGGGAAGGGCACAACTCCAGAAATGCAAAATATGGTCCCCAAATACGGCCTGACCCTGCACTTGGCTCTCTATCAGGGAGGACATTTCCAGGTCCTGGCCTGGCCAGGTGGCCCGCGTCACGTGCATGTGCCTGGTAGCTCAGCTGCCAAGTGAATCTGGATGATTTTGGAGCCTTCCAGCTAGCAGCTCCCCAGCAGCGGACACCAATCTAGGTCAGCCCACTCTTTTACAGGCATGAGACAGACAGACTATTTAGACAGCTGTAAGTCCTCTCAGAGTAAAAGCTTATTAGCATAGATGAAAAAGCACTCTGGGAGAAAAAAAAAAAAAAAGCTCAACAGCATCCTAAAATAATATGCTGAGGTTAGACAGCTTAAGTGAGCTTTCAAAAGGACTTTGAACCATGGTATAAAAGTACTGGTGAAATCAACACCCATTCTCCTTGCAGCTGCTGGGGGACAGCTTCGTGTATCTGGCTTTACAAGTCAAGGCTGGAGCCTTGAGACGATGTACAAATAATGACAGGGTAGGCAGGGTCCTTACGATGGGGATCAGATCACATATGTCCCACTGATTCTGGATTAGTGTAAAACCTGTGGTGGCTTCAATAATGACTTGTGGTCATGTGTGCATTCAGACCCGAAATCCAACCAAGGCCATTGATTACATCACTGGCTGCCAAGTTTGGGCCCATAAATAAAGCTTCTTTTCTCCTGTGCTTGCATAGCGTCAGACTTGCAGAACGTAGAGTTGGGACCTGGCAGAGGAAACTGGGGCCAGAAAGTGCCTTTCACCTCCTCTTCCCCAGCCAGCAGGTCCCCACTGATGGCTAAGCAAAACTTGAAAAGAGACTTAAGTCCCATAGATATTCATGTCACCTAGGTCAGACAGCTGTCATCCCATCTTCCTCTCCCTTGAAAAATAACAAAAATCTACCCTGCATTGAGAACTTGCTAAGTACCCTGCAGCCGTCATAGTATCTTCTATTACTCCCATTTTTCCAGGTGAGGAAATGTGGTGGGTGGATTGTGCGACTTTTCCAGAGCCACAGAGCCGCATCTGAGCTTAGATCTACAGCTTCCTGTGTAAACACGTGGTGCCAAAGCAGTAGGCAGGCGGGAGCTTCCCAAGTAGGTGCCAGTGGGGTAAGTCATGGACATGTGTTTTGAAACTTCAGGGTTAGGGCAGGACTTTGGCTTAAAGTAGTGGATCGCTGCCGAACTCCATTTCCATAATGCATGGGACGGTCAGGCTGTTCTCTTTTAAATATTTATCCATCTGTTCACTTCATAATTAGCAAGAAAGTGATACAGGATGTGCCCTTTTAAAGAGGTTATTAAACCTCATGGTTATGGTCATTTCCATCCGTCCTTGGCTGCCCAAACCAGTCTCCAGAGACACGTGTGACTGCCCGAGGCACACCCCTCCCCACAGCTCTGTCTGCAGGGTTCTTTGGTTTCCGAGGGTCAGCTTGTGCCATAACGCACATGGGCTCAGAGGCCTCAGAGCCAGACTGCTGTCGGAAGCTGGCCAAGGCCCAGAAGGAGCAAAGCACTCTGAGATGGCCTCTTGCCCTGGGGACAGTGCCTTTTCCCAAGGGCCTGTGACTCTGTGTATACAGCCTCCTTTTATAGCCCTGCTGCAACCCGATCAGTTTCTAAACAAACGCCTGCGTGGCAGTGTCCATCTGCAGTCCTTCCTTTGAGCGCGACCCTTGTGGCATCACCAACGCAGACGCATGGCTGGGTAGCTCACCTGGGGCCCCTGCTCGGTCTTGACATCGAAGGGGTCTCCCACGGGCCGCTGCCTGGCGTACTCCACGCTGCGCCGCACGAACTCGGCATAGACTTGCTCCTCCACGAACACTCTGGAGGCCGCCGTGCAGCACTGTCCTTGGTTGAAGAACACTCCCCGATGGGCACACTCTACTGCCAAGTCCACTGGAGAGGCAGGGTGCGGGCGGGCGAGGCAAGAGGAAGCGATTAAGTTGTTAGAGCAGGCTTGGCGACAGCTGCGATTCTAATTGCCCACATAAGAAAACAGGCCCCAGGATGGGCTGCTTTTCAGAAATTAATTTTGTTCTCAGCATTTCCCAAGCAGAGAGTATGGGAAGAAGGACAGCAGATTCACCAAGTTCGGGGTTATTAAGTCTTCTGACTGCAGGACCACTCAGTACCTCTATTATGCTAATGAGCCCAGATTTGAGGACCAGTCTCCATTTCATTTGCCAGTGGGACCCTCTCCTCCCCTTTTTCTTCAGGACAAACTCGTGTTCTCTGGCAGGGGAGTACAAATTCTTGGCAAGTACTGATGTAGGCACGTGATGAGGATTTCTAAGGAAGTCCAACTTTTCTACCTTGAGTGGAAGAGGATCTTGGGAAGTAACCTAACACCACCCAGGTCTCAGAAGGGGACCAAGGCATTGTATCTGCCTGAAGGCTGACTGAATTAGGAGCTGATGTTGAACTGAAATCAGCTACTGAGACCCAGCTGGGGGGCTGTTCAGCCCAGTCTTTGGGAAGACACTGGGTGAGAGAGATGGCAGTGGCTGGCCTTTGCGCTGCTGGTGGGGCACCCAGTGCTCGGTGCCTGGCTGGCTTCTCAGCACCCTGGACACTGTTGCTTGCTCAAGAACACTAGTTGCCTTCGGCATGAAGCCACAGCGATGAGCACAGGCCTATCTAAGCTTACCAGGCAGTTCTGAGGGACTCTGCCCACAGCTTTGAGGAGGCCACTGCCCTGCGCAGGCTGTGTGTGTAAACTGTAGTGGCAGTGGGACATCATTGTCGCAAGGAACACAATCCTTCTGGAAGACAGCAGCTTCATTTCTTGCACCCCGATAGAGTCAGGGTGGTGGATGGAGTGGCAGGTGAAAGGTGGCATGCTACCCTTGATATTAAGGCAGGGTTTAATTGTGTGGACTGGCACTACCTGGAGGAGGGGGGAGGAGGGCAGGAGACAGTTCCACAATGTGTTTTCATGAGTTCTGTAATGCCAACCCCCAAACAGGGTGCACCTGTGCTTCAGTTGCAGATTTCCTCTTTGAGAGGACAAGAGGACGAGCTGAGTACAGGTGGGGTCCTTGATGCACAGCTGGAGGCTCTAGGGTGGCAGCCAGAGCCTCCAAATATGGGTCACCTCATGGCAATACCCAAAAGAGCCTCACATGGCCCCAGGAAGCATTAGCAATACCAATGACACTTCCACCAAGAAGCGGCACCAGGCAGGAAAAGGGCATCCTGTGTCCCACCCTTCCCTAGAGCTTGTCTCCTCTCCCTGTCTGTCCTCCTATTGAAAACCGGCTTCAGAGAAAGGAGCTAATATCAGTCATTTACATCTAAGTGAGAACTCTTGCCAGGGTCATTGTTTTTTCTGGGATATTTGAGATTCTAGTCTTATCTGCCCGTGGACTAGAAAGCTTTGTTCTCTGTGACCGGTATTGCTGGCACCATGGACAGGTGGGGGAGGCTGTACTTTAAGCCAAAGGTGCTTCAAGCTATTTGGGAAGTCACACCTTTTGATAGCTGACCTTGTCACAGGTGAACAAACTCCCGCCCAGCATGGTCCTTTCTGCCTGCTCTGGCCACAGCTGCCAAGAATAGCATATACAGTATATTGTGTCATGAAATTTTAGTAAGATATGAGCTGCTCCCAAGTTGCTACGCAGGTGTCTTTCCCAGGCAGGAGGTGGTACAGGGAGAGAGAGCACAGACCACCAGTTGCAGCTTCTTTCTTTCTTTCTTTCTTTCTTTCTTTCTTTCTTTCTTTCTTTTTTTAAGAGTCAACACCATTGTCAGACCAAGACAAAGAAAGAAGAAATAAATAACTGTTGTTCAATCCCCACTACCACTCTTCTCCAGAGAACTGGAGACAATCCAACGACTGGAAAAGTAGAACAACAAATGCCCAGGAATTGGGAGCGGCTGTCTGCTCCCTTCTCCTTGTCTTCTTGACCCACACCCAAGAGGGGACCCTGGAGGAGAAACTGGGCCTCCCTGCTCCTTATGGCCCCAGTCCAGCTGAGCAGAGGGAGAAACAGGCAGCCCTATTGTCAGGCTAGATAGACTCTGAGGAGTGACCCCACTAGGACAGGCAGGATTGAGGCAACCAGTCATATCTTTATTTCAGGCTGGCTGCAGCCTGGTAACGGTGAGAAGGCCATTGACCAGGAACAAAGGAAGAGAATCCACTTCATAGACTAACTGAGGTATAGGTGGGGTCTCTTGGCGAACGGGAAGCACCTGGGGGAGGTACAGGATGGTAGAAGCATCTGGTTGACTTACAGAGTGGCATTCTATAAACTTACAGGGTTTCCCGAAAGCCTGAGAGCCGAGCCTAGGAACCAACATGATAAACACAGGTATTTTAGTCTTTGGCTGAGCAAGTGGGGGGTTTCCTGCTTGAACAGAATGGTTGTCTATAGTTTTTCTCCTCAGGTTATGATGGGCCTAATTGCGAGGACCTAACACCCATCAGCTGCCACCTAAGCTGTGCCCCTCTCAGGGGCAGCTTCCTATCAGCCATGAGCCCCAGGCTCTATTCTCCCTCTGTGTGGCATGGTTGTGGAGAGGCAGGCAGGCTGACCCAAGATGGAAAAGAGCCCCACTGTGTGTCCGTGCACATGTGTCTCTCTCTCAAACGGATCTGAATTTGGTCCAGAAAGCATGCAGAGATCTACGGGGCCCCAGAGGCCAGGCCACACCCAGGCTGGGCAGAGACTCACGATCAGCATCGGCACACACGATGCAGGGGTTCTTGCCCCCCAGCTCCAGCGTCACCCTCTTCAGGTTGCTCCGAGATGCAGCTTCTTTAACCAGCTTTCCAACCTTCAGGAGAAGAAACAGGCCAGAAAACATAAACATGGCCAAACCTGGCCCAAATGCACACACCAGAAAACGTTCTGGCTGGGAGGAGGCACTGCGTGAGTGTGGACAGCCACCCTGCAGGGTGCCCCAGGCCTCCACACTACTAGGTTCACACAGGTCTTTGCAGCATGTGCTTGCAAATAAGACCATGATTCCTAAAGTCCACGGTCTGAACTGATCCGCTTCTAGGAGTGAGTGTGGCCTCCCGGGGCCCAAGGAGTTCCCCATGGACGCAGCTGGGCACAGTCCCAGTGAGCCCTACCCACTGCCCAGGGAAAAAGGCTCGAGGCACTAGGGGCAGGTCTCCCAGTCTTGCTAGCATCAGCTGAAATCCTGCAGCCCAATGGAAAACGGGGTTCTGCGTGGCTCTGGTGTAATTCAAAGGAAGCTTCCAGAGTCAGGGAAGCAGGAAGAGCAGAGACCCTCAGGATGGGAAGGACCCACCTCTGGCAACAGACTGCAAGACTGTGTAGGGTGCACCACCGGTAACAGAGCAAACGGCAGCACACAGCCTCCCAGATCGGGCACCTCAGGGGCTGTCTCCATCCACCACCAGAGAGCAGGGCTGGCTCCGTGTGCCCTTCTCACTTCTCCTGGGCAGTAAGTAAAGCCAGGCGCCTGTAACCCTAGCACTTTCAGAGGCTGAGGCAGTAGGATCACAAGTTCAAACCTAGCCTGGACAGAGCCTGTCTCAAAATTAAAAAAAATATCTGGGGCCATGCACACAAGGAAGCACCAGCTGGGCTGCGGCTCAGTGGTGGAGCTGAGCACCTTCCACCCTCAGCGCCGCCAAAAGGAAAACTAAATTCTGTGAGCTCGAGGATGGTGGCCTCCGTGAGGCCTGGAATGGATCCACAGTGGCGATGTGTGGCAGGCACCCGCTCCAGGCTCCTGACGTACAGGAAGAACTGCGTTCTTGCAGCTCAAGACGGCAGGGTGACCTAGGTATGGAGATTGCTGTGGCTGAGCAGTCCCCAGGGGTCACTGAGGCCACTTTCTTGATGTTGGTTGCTAAGTGAGGAGGGCGCCACTCAGCTGGACCCATGGCCACCTAAAAGGGGCTCAGGAAGTCTGCCGAGGAGCTTGAGAGGGGCAGAGAAAGCTTCACTACTGGATCAGACAACAGAGAAAGACTGAGAGCCACTCGGGGGTAGGAGTCCACGTCCTGTCCCCAAAGCCAGAGGTAGACTCACTACTCCAGTCAGCATACTGAGCACCACTGGCTGTTTTAATGCTGTACCCATGCCATGGTGGCTTTAAATGAGGGCCTGATCTGCGCATAACCCACACACACGACCATCCTGGCTGCTAAAGAGGCAGCATCCTCCGTCAGGGCTGCAGGAAGGGGCCATGGGCTCCTGGCTAGACCAAAGACAAGGGATATGGAGACATTTACTGCATGGGAAAGTTCTCTCCGTTATTTTAAGTACAGAACTTTCTCACTAAAAATAATTCCATAGGTAGAAGTACATAAAATTAAAGGGGGAGTCTGTGTCTTGTGACCCCAGTACTCAGGACATACCCCATAGGTGGCCATAGTCTTTTCTTGAAAATCCGTCCAGAAAACTCCTATGTCTCCCCATGCACACACACATGCACACATACAAACCACTTTCACTACTGGGATCGCATGGTAAATAATTTCCTGTAGTTCGCCTTCTTGGAGCTCACAATAGATCAAAGCCATATTTCATTGTCTACCTGACGACTGTTAAACATTTCACAGGTTAGATGTGACATATGTGAAATGTCCTCAATGTGCATGGCAGTATCTCTCCAAACACAGTAGTTTCTTTGAAATGCGATTTCTGAATCAAAGGCTTCTCCCTTTGAAAATTTAAAGCAATACTCCTAAGTCTTACCTCCCACCTGGGGAATAGTGAGATCCCAAATGCCTAACAACACTACTCAGTTTTTACCAAATTAAGAGATAAAAGGTGTCGCATTTTTATTTGAATTTACATTTGTCTGGTTTTGGTGATTACCATGCCTCTGGTTACCAGTCAGCTAAGTCTGTGTTATTTTTAATTAATTAATTAATTAATTAGAGATACAGGGTCTCACTACGTAGTTCACACTCATAGTGATCCTCCTGCCTCAGCCTCCCCAGCTCTGGGATTACAGCTGTGCACCACCACGCCCAGTTTCAGTGGCCTGTATGGCCTGCCCGGGGTTCTGGGGCTAGTATGGCATGCAGTACTGGGGTTCGAACCCGGGTCCTCGCACTTGCCAGGCTGGCGCTTAGACCGCCAGGCTATCTTCCCGGCCTCCATCAGCTAAGTGTATTGAGCACCTCAGGTGCTCACCATCCCACTATCTGCTTTTCACTCACTCGCAGGAGCGCTTCACCCGAGAAGGGCTGCACCCCGAGCCCTTGTTTTCCCCCCGCTTATCAGTTAACTCTTAGTCCTCAGGATGGTGTTTGCTGCATAGACGCTTTACATTGTTATCTCATCTCTCTGCCTTCCTCCAAGGTTTCTGTGTTCTATTATATATTTACTTAGTTTGGAAGCTAGATCAATGACTGTTAACCAAATGTATGTATTATGGTCATGCTTAGAAGAAAAACAAAACACAGTTTAGCTTTTCAAAGCAGGCATTTGGGGGTCTGGAATAGGAAGCCATTTGCCCCTCGTGGGCATCCGGGGACTTACCTCCGTGGACCCAGTGAAGGCGATCTTGTTGATCAGAGGGTGAGAAGAAATCGCTGCTCCCACTGTGGGCCCAAATCCTGGTACAATGTTCACCACGCCAGGAGGAAAGCCGACCTGGGGGGAGTGGAGACAGCATGACAGGCGGAGGAGACACAGCCTTGCCACTGAGAGGTGAACAGGCTGGGAGGTTGGGAGCACAGCAGCCCCCAGGGAGACCCCAGGACTCGGGCACCTCGGCTGCTGCACCCTGGAGCCAACCCAGGGTCCTGGCCCAGGGCACAGGCTTCCCTTTCCAGGAAGGGCTTCCCACCTTGTGGAGCTCTGAGCAAACATGCAGTAAGACCACAAGGTGGCAGCAGTCCTTGTGCAGCAAGGCACCTTTCAGCGCCCGTGTGTTGTGTGAGTGTGCATGTGTGAGCACACAGGGGTGTGTATGCATGCATGTATGTGCATGTGTGTGAAGCTTGTGTGTGCATGTATACATATGCATGCATGAGTAACATGAGCATGTGACTATACTACTGGCGTGTGCATACCTACAGGTGTGTGTGAAAGCCCGCGTACAAGTGTGTGCCTATGGAGAAGCACCTGGGTCACACCGCTGCAGCTCCCAGGCAGCTGAAAAGCACCCTCTGGAGCAATAGCATGCGTTTTTCCATCTGCCCCACTTATGTCCCCAATGGGACAAGAGAGTAGCCCCTCTGTGTCCTTTGCTTACACATCTTGGCTCACACCAAGGATGGACACACCTAGCTCCTTCACACTGACACCCAGATTTGCACACACAAGGCCGCCTCCCTCACCAGGGACACCACAGACCAAGTGCGCTATAAGGCCTCTCTCTGAGGTTCCCCACCTCTTACCTAGAATGCTATTTTATTTTATTTTTAAAAATTTTTTTCTCCATAATTTTATTGAGAAACAAATAGCAATGAGATAGTTTCAAATCAAATTGGTAGGACAGTTTCAATAATTAACACATTGCATACTCCCTTCCTAGTGGTTATTTGCTGTACAAGATGCAGACATGATATCCGATTAAAAAAAACATTAGAACAAATCCCTCTATTCATTAAGAGAATGTAACTATATATCTATCCTAACCATTTTGAATACACAAATACAAAATGGACATTCATCTGCATCCCCCTTTTTGTTTGGTTCCATCATTTGAATAGTATAGGTGTGTGAACTCAGCAAAATATTCCAAAAGAGTCCAGTAGTCCATAATAGTATTGGGTCTTCCACGTCACTGGCAGTGTCAGAAATTGTTGACCTGAGTCCCCTCTAGCTCAACATAACAGCATGGCTTTACTTCTTATACTCCGTTTTTATACTTTTCTGCTGGATGGTTAAGACCAAGGTAAAGCAAGACCTATGCAACAAGAGTTGTAGCTTTTGGATCTGATAAGATCAGTGAAATCCCCTCAGGATTTATCCTGAGATCCTGTACCTCAGATTGTAGAACCTTTGTCAGTGTCAGCCATGTATGAGAACTTGTACTGTAACGACATATAACTCAGTTGTATCCCAAATTTTCTTATCAAGGAGATTATGGGGCCAAAGAGGAAAGTGATCGATGATGTAGAGTGTGCCTAAGGAGAGTCACATGGAGAGAAAACATTCTCTCAGGCTTTCACAGAGAGCACATTGACCAAGCAATGGCCGTGACTCATCCACATGGCTGAGAATGCTATTTTGAAAAACCAACCTTTTAGTTTCCTAGGCACTAATCGCCAACAGTTGTGATGTCAGATCCCTCCCGCCTCATTGCCTCTGCGACCATATTCTCTATCACAGCTCAAAGAGAAGTGAAAACTGGTTGAATGTTGGTCGTCTGACCTTGATCTGGGTATTAACCCAGATGCAAAGTGAAATGAATGGTTCTTTTTCTCCTATCCTTTTCCTACTGATTCTTTTTTTCTAAATCTTTGCTATATACAAGCTGGTGATCAAATGATGAAAATATGTCACCAGGTGTGTCTGGGAGGAGGCGTCCCTCTGCGCCGCTGTTTCCCTGAGTTGTGGCTACCCGGGGTGTGGGTGGGAATTGCCCACAGGTACCGATCAGAGGCTGGCATTCCCGTGGCTACTGGAGAAAACAGGAGCTTTTCATTCCTCACCAGTGCACAGCCCGAGAACCTTCTGGACATTTGGCTCTGCTTTGGGTCACCCCCCTGCAGACCCTCTAGACAAAACATTGAGTCCTAAACTATAGGTTTGAGCGCATAATAAGAGTGATGCATTCTCATTAGGACCCCTGGGAGGAATGGCGTTCCTTCCAGCTCAGTGACCACAAGCAGAAGGAAGACAGCACAGCCGCCAAGCAAAACACAGGCGGCATTCCCTCCCACTCGGCAGGAGCCTGCCGCCGCCGTCGCGTCTTGCGATGCTGACCCGGTTCCCAGAGGGGGAATGTTATCAAGAGCACATATTCCCTTTTGGACGTCTCACCTCTTTGATCAGTGAGCCGAGATACAGCGCAGTCAGGGGAGTCTGCTCTGCCGGCTTCAGAACCACGGTGTTCCCACAGCACAGGGCAGGTGCCAGCTTCCACACCAGCATCAGTAGGGGGAAGTTCCACTGGGGCAGACCACAGGAAGAGCCGTGAGGGCCTGGACACCCTACCCCACCTCACCTCCCCATGCAGGGTGCCCAGTGATGCCTCCCAGGAGGGCATACGCTCTCACCAAGATTTGGGAGCACAGGGAGAACAGGAGTGGACAATGACCAGACAGCACCCCCACCCGTGCTCGCTAAATTGCATGCTGGGAAGTGCTGATAGGCAGCCTCTGCAAAGCAGGTGTGCTGCGTGTGTACTGCTACAACCCCTCCAAACTGTGCACTGCCCCCTGGTCTCTATGATGCAGTTTTTCAGCCCTCACTTCTTGATGTCACTTGTCTCCCCTGTTCCCTGCCCAGTGCCACAGCAACGGGTAGCCTGAGTCTTCCCAGATGGGCAGGACCGTGGCATTCCCAGCTCCCATGAGCATTCACAGTTCAGGGACTAAAGTCCACAGCTCTTCTTGGCAGCCAAGGCTGCTGAAGCTGGCCCTAGTTGCATGCTCATCCCACCCAAGCTCTGGCCCCAGCAGCATCCATGCTGTTCCTTCCCAAGTGGGCCAGCCAACCCCACACCTTTGAATTCCTACTGCCTGGGAAACCCTTCTTTCTGACAAACAAATCCTTCCCATTCTCCAGGGCCCAGCTGAGAGAATGGCTCTCTGTGGATCTTGTCCACACCTGATCCCCCCATCTGGAATCCACCACATCTGCTGGTGCCTCACTAGAGCCAGTGACTTAGAGCAGCAATGGGAAACAAACCACCTGAGGAGTCCGCAAGCACAGGGCCCCACGCTGCCAAACACTTCCTCAATCAACAATGGTGCTGTGGGCCAAGCACGCCAGAAACTGGTTCCAAAGGACACAAGGCAGTGGGGTGCTATCTGCGGAGGATCTATCTATCAGGAAAAGCTGCTGTACTTACTGGAGTGATGGCCCCGCACACCCCGACGGGCTCATGCCTGGTGAAGCACACAACATTGTCATCTGAAAGAGAGGTGACAGGCCAGGGATGGACACACCCATTTAATCAGGGTGAAGAATTTGAAAGATAGAAAGACAAGAAGGAAACCCAGAAACCCACATGGATGCCAGCTCCTTGTCTTGTTTACGACACAAAGAAGTAACTTCAAGTTCATAGTGAATTAAAATGGGTGAAGTTTGTAGCTCAGTGCAAGAACATCTGCAATCATTCTTGCACAGGATGTGTGGGGCTCTGGGCTTGATCCTCCCTATAGCCCCTCAAAATGAGTAAGTTGCTTAGAAGGTTCCCAGTGCCACTGGGGGAGGCCAGAGCAGTAAGGATGAATTCGAGGTGAAGGGCCAGCAGAGGGAGGTGACAGCCCCCAAAGAGACCCCAAAGGAGGAAGAGTCTGTCCTGTCTGGGCTCACCTGTGGGGATGGTCCTGCCCTGGATTTTGTCTGCCCACCCTGCAAAGTATCTGCAGGTCTTAATGCAGCCCTCCAAGTCGACGAAAAAGGCATGGAGGAAGGGCTTCCCAGTATCCATAGTCTCCAGGGTCTGCAACGACAGGATGGCACCCACTGCAGGTGTGGCTTCCTTTTCTTGTTGACAGTGAGGCTGTTAGAGGGCATGGGGGATACCTAGTCCTAAGATGTTGGTGTCTAGGCCTCAGTCCTAGGTGTCACATCAGAAAGTACAGCAGTAGGCTGAAACCCAACTCTGCCAGACTGGCAAGGATCTCTTATTGTCAAACACCCGCAGCTGGGGGCTGTGCTGCAGCATGGGCTATGTCTGCCTGGAAAACTCATTTGAAGCCTTGGTGGGAAGGGATCCATGGGGACACTGGGGTCTTCTGTCCAGAGCACGGGGGCCTCAGCTGTGGGACCCAGACACCTGGGCTTGTGCATTCCAAGGAGCTGGAGAGAAAGTAGCTTCTTTTTACAAGAGAAAAGGATTGCACTGGTTCTCCTCTCTCTGCTCAGTTGCTCAAGGTGGCTGTGGAAAGGGTGACTGCCCAGAAAGGTCATGCCACCAACACAAAGATGTGATGCTTTCCTAGCACGCTGTGCAGCCGGATGTGGAGCAGGGAGCGGAGCCTGCTGCCGGCTCTCGAGGGAGGTGGTTCTCCAGGCGAGCAGCGGGCGCTCAATGGCAGGAATTCTTTTCTATTTCCAGCCTGGGAGAAAGAGAACTCCTTTGTCCCTCAGACAAGCAGCTCCAGTGGAGAGCGGCACTGAAACTGCCAGTCATCAGGCTCTGCAGGAAATGGCCACCCCGCCGCATCGCCCAGGGCTGGATTCCTGCTGAAGCATCAATGGAGCAGGATGGTGATGAAACAAGGGAGGAAGGGCCTCGTCCTACACAGGGCTCTGACCCAGATGCGTGCACAAAATCTGCTCCAGAGCTGCACATCTCAATTCCCACTTCAAGGTGCAAGTATCAAGCTAACAGACCCCAGTGATTCAGCCATGGCCACCAAGATAGCCAGGACTGAGGTCAGAGTATCTCACATTCGGTGACCACTCTCTGGGGGCTGCCCCATGCCATGCTCATCTTGGAAGGCTAGAGATGCTTTGGCCTGCTCTGTCTGATCTCTGCTATTGGCCTGGGCCAAGACCCCTCTTCCTAGGAGACAACCACTTCTGACAAACACTAGCTCAGCAGCCTGGGTATGTTCCTGGATCCCCGGCCCCACCCACCTCCTCGGTTTCCAAATCTGTAAAATGAGAATAATAATGGGACTTCCCTCCTAGGATAGGTGTGAGTTAAGAGATTCAAGTAACATGAGCCCCAACCGCAGCGTGGCCCTGGGTGCTACGCAGGTGGCCACACCAGAGCCGATAAAGATGGATAAAGATTCTATTCTTCCTTTCAGGCACAGACGGGGACTTAGCAGTCTACCTGGGGGCTCAAGGACGGAGGGCTGTGAGATGCCAGAGATGCCAGGACCAGCCCAGGTCTTGGGCTCATACTCCATGCACAGCAGTTGTCATGCAGGGAACAAGTCAGTTCAAGGTGACATCCAACAAACTGTGCTTTAGCATCTATTGATGGACATTTCAGGCTGGACTTTCGTTTTCCCAGGAGAAGCCTTCAACCGCAAATGATACCGAAAGGTCTCCAGGACTTGGCTCTGCTGACCAGTCTCTGCCACGGACCCCGGAGCTTACTGCTGGATCTTTTTTGGGACAGGACAGGGAAGAGGACTTAGATGGAGCAGTGCAGTGGCGGGGGGGTGGGCATGGGGGGTAGGGAGGATGCAGGGGGTGAAGCCAATTATCTGTTGTCAGTTCTGATTGGCTGAATGTGGACAAGTTGCCTCCCCTCTCTGAGCCTCCATTTCCTCATTTCTGAGATGGGAAAATCAGTACCACAGGTCAGGTAGCCCTGTGCCAGCAGGCAGTCAGCAAGCAGTAGCTGATTTTTTTTTTTTATCATCAGCTTGGCCTAGGTTGCTTATTGGAATAACAACATAATTTTTCAAGACTGTTTTTATCGATTCTATCCAAGCAAAACCTAGGTTGCAATACTTTTAGACAGAAAATTCTTTTTTTGAAAAAAGAATTCACAGGCGAATGCGTACACAGGATTGAACCTGGGAAATCAAGCTCTGGCTACTCAACGGAACAGTCACCTCTTAAGCTTAGACTGATTGTCCTGGTTCAACCAGCAGTAAAGCAGAGCCACTCCTAAGATTATTTCCTTTAAGATTTAAGAGAAAAATGGACCTTCTGAAAAATGAAGCTATGGCAACGCTAAGGTGCTCAGGGAAGAGGAGAAAGTGCCAGGCGTGCTGCCCCTGTGTGGTCAACATGCCTGACGCAGAGCCAGGGAGCCCAGAAATGACACTCAGGTTGAAAAAGAGAATCTGCATGGCACTCCCAAAACACGCCCCCAGTGAGCCAGAGCCTGGGCCCAGGGGCTCCGTGAGGGAGTAAACATCAGGGGCTTCCGGATCCTACCACGTGTAGCACATGCAAACAGAACGAACACCCCGCTCCACCCGACCACCAAGATGGCAAGAGTTTGGTAGAAAAAAGCACTCTGCTACTTGCAGGGCAGGAAACCAGAGCGAGGTGGAACATGAGGGGCAGCTTCTTAGGACGTGGTCAGAGGTTAAAGCCGTATTTGCCAGTCATTCTCGTGTCCCTTTCACGTTGTGGCAAAGAGCAATTTTCTGGATGGCGTCCAGGTTTTCTGCAACGCCCCCCCCCCCCACCCCGGCTGCTATCAAAACACAGTCGCGCTGAGACAATGGAGCGGGCTGAAGGGGAAGGTGGCCTTGCAGAAGCTGCACCCAGGATGATACTGACACTTGAGGACAGGGTGGGGAGGGGTGCCCAGGGCACATCCTCTGAGCCAGCTATTAGGCCACACGGACATTGCAGACTGATGAGCTCATGCTGGGAAAAACAGAAATGTTTTTGAAAAAGCCAGTTTGGCAGCTTGAGAGTTGAGACTGGATTGCGGGTGCGGGAAGTGGCCGGTGGCCCTGTGTGGAGAGCAGGGCTCCCCTGGGAAGGAAACACCTTCGTTGGGATCGGGTGAATGTGCCCACCTGCTGCTAGGAAGAGGGGGAGAGAAGAAGAGGGGGAGATCAGAAGGAAGGAAAGAGCAGAGGGAAGGGCAAAGGGATGGACTTTGCTCTCTGCATAAGATGCTTCCTCAGGGACATACATCCAGGACTTCTTCTACCCCCAAGAAAGACATTCTGGGGCAAAAGCAGTGTTGGGGTTCTGGCTGACACTGGCCTTTAAAGGGGTGGTCATTCCATTTCTGGTTCCTAATGCTAGAGAAGCCAATTTTCCAAGTCAAAGGCCAAAAAGGAGATTTCCTCTCCTGCAAAGTTGGTCTCAGGGTTTGAAACAAGTTTTAAAAACAGGAGTCCTAGCTGTTCAAGCCCTGAATGTGTTGGTTGCAAATGATCTCAGGCCCCAGTATCCCCAAGATGTCCTCTGGTCACCTACCTCAGGACCCAAAGAACGGTTGAAGATGGTGTCAAATAACGTATTTACTCCTGACTTACTCCTTACTACTTCCCAGCTCCGTACCACGGGAGCAGTCTAGTGTCGGGGCGGAACACCATTGACATGCCCATTTCATAGCTAAGGAATTAAGAGACCTACAAATTACTGGCCAGGTAACCACGTAGTGGGGTTGGGGCCCGGGCTTCAGGGAGCACCACTGCGAGGACCACTCATACTGACGACCACTCTCATTGAGTCCTTGTTTGCTACTAGATGCCGGGGCTCAAGGTTCGAAATGGATTGTTCTCACACATTCTGACGTCATTCGCAGTGACCGTTTACATAAGAAATGAACCTGAGAACTGTAGCTAATGCCCAGTGTCATACGTTCTATGTTTTACCCTCCACATATGTACTCATGATAAAATTTGACTTACAAATCAGGAACAGTCAGAGATTAATAACAGCAATAATAACAAAATAGAACAATAACAACATAATAAAATTTGGGAATTGCTTATTTCTGGAATTTTACATTTAATAACTATGGATAACTAAAGCTATGGAAAGGGGGATGATCGTATTTAGGATGAGGTTAAGTTTAAGTTGAAAAGAGAGTTAATGGGGAAAAAAGAGACAAAGTATCCAAAAGCCAGAAGGGAGCAGGACAGGCCCAGCCCACATGGGACTGCTGGTGACTGTCCCAAATCTGGCAACTACTGCTGCAGTGGTTCCTCCGGCAGCTTTTCAGTCAAGAAGCTGAATGGCAGGGGACAAAAGTCTGACTTCAAAACAACGATGAAGTCTGGCAACACAGCCCCTTACATACCTCAAAGAACCAACAGGCCCACGGCCACCCAAGGCCAGCACCCTCCAGCTTGTCCCCCAGACCACATGAGGACAGACCTGGGGAGAGTCTTTCCTGCCATGCCTGTGCCCAGGAGCCTGTACTCACGGCCAGGATGGCGCGGTCCCTCTCCAGGAGGTCGGCCAGCTGGTGCAGCAGCCGGCCACGGCTCAGGGCATCCAGCCGGCGCCACGGGGAGCCTCTCTGGAAGGCAGCTTGAGCGGCCTCCACAGCCTTGTCCACATCGGGCTGAGACAGAGAGAGAGAGAGAGAGAGAGAGAGAGAGAGAGAGAGAGAGAGAGAGAGAGAGAGACTTTTGAATGCAACTAAATTGGGGATGTTTTGCTTCTGAGGACAGCAGCATTGCACCTCTGTCTCATGGCAGAGCGGAGGAAAGCTCAGGTGGCAGATTAGCTGCAGGCAGCAGTGAGTTTCCAAGTCACCTAAGTAGCTGGGAGCTTTTCGAGTGATTTTTTTGCTTTATGTCTAAGTCATTTTCAAGATTCCCATAATGGCCAAGTGTCACCCTGATAAGAGCACACATCTCCAAATGTAAAGTCACTAACCTTGCAGTGGCCCAAGGAACAAGAAGGTTCCCCAGGTGCTGGCTCACCTGTCTGAGCCCGCAAACTAGGTGGGAAATGTCTGTCTTAGGGTTCCCATTCCAGCTAAGAATGGCGGTCCGGGAGTGAGAGTAGGGGATTCGGGCCTCTGGAGACTGAAGGAGGGAGCATGTTGGACAAGTGTGCAGGCTGGGCCGGGCAGCGGTGGCCAGGGGCCTCTGCGCTGCCTTCCATCTCCATACCCTAAGGGGGTGCAATTCTTGCACTGCTTTATCGACTCGGATAGAATGATTACAACAGAAATGTTACTCTTTTTTAGTACTAGGATGAAACAAGAACTTTGCCGAGCTACATTCCCGCTCCAAGCTTTCTTCTTAAAGCAAGTCTGTTCCAAGGGGCATCATTTATCCCTACTGTCACAAAAAGAAGCGTCCAGGAGTTGTTTGCTGCTGGGCCATGGCTCATCCTGAAGGCTGCCTCTTGCCCTGCCTAGGGTGTGGTGGCAGGCCGTGGATGCTGGAGACAGGCAAGGGATGCCACCAAAACTCTGTCTCTGAACTTGGTGGGTGAGGGGCATGGAAGCTTGGGCCAGGATGATGCAGGAGCACTGGATTTCCTGTCTGGGCTCTTCAGGGGAGGCCAGGACTTCTCTTACTCCTGGGGACAAGGTGGCTTCTACCTCCAGGTGCTTAGAGCTGTTACCCAAACAAGTGAAAAACCAGAGCCCAGAGCAAGATCTTGGCTTTATCTCTGACATTATAGGGGGACCCCAGAGACATTCAGTGGGAATCCCTCCCACTCAGCATTATGCCCTCCCTGCCCAGACCTCACAGCTTCCTGTGTGTGCCTCTCCGCCTCCTTGGTCAACACAGCTCAGCATGGGGAGCCATGCCCCACTTTTCAACATCATCGATGTAGAGATGAGGCGTATCCACCCAGCACCTGTAGCCCAGGTAGCCCCAGCTACTCAGGAGGCTGGAGGATTGCTTGAGCCCCAAAGCCCAGGCCAGCCTTAGAAACATAAAGAGACCCCTGTCTCAGGAAAATAAATCTGTGCAGCACTCAAACAGTGAGGAATTATTCACATGTCTTTCTATAGAAGAACTTAACCTTTAACCTTTTCTACAATGGCCCTTCCATTCAAAATATACATTATGGCTTTGAAATGTACCAGGGTACAGAATAGGTATCCCCTTAGCTTCTCTAAATGACATAGGAGCTGCACAATATGGCTGTACAGGATAGTTTTCCCTAATCACGTGTCTAATAGAAAAGAAATCTTCTAGGCACAGGATGTTACCGCTGCCCCACTTCTCACTTGGGAAGCATGTCTTTTTTCCTTCAAGTATTTCTTTTAAAGTGTCTCTTGCCAGAAAAGCTGCATTTGGTGAAACACACCAGCCGGAAATGCTTTCTGGAAAGATTCTTTAATGCCTCCAGGTTCAAATAATTGATAAAAACCTTTCCTTTCGCTATGTGACGCAGACAGCTGAGGTCATCCTCCACGATGGGGAAACATCCATCAAAGGCAGGGACTCGTTGTAGGAGACCATCTGTAATTGATCCCACACTGGGCCCTGCGTCTGAGCTGCACATGGCAATGACCGACCGGAGCAGTTACCCAGGCCCTCCCAGAGGGTGGGCCGCTCCAACTCCTAGCTAAGGTGCAGTGTTTCCTTATCGTCATTTATCTATAATTGAATTACTCAGATGGGGGGACGGGGGCGGGGCAGGGGTAGGGGAGGACTCACCTTATCTCCTTCTTCTACTTCGCATATTTTCTCCAGAGTTGAAGGGTTATATGTGGCGAACTTTTTTCCACTCTTGGATTCATGCCAGTCATTGTTGATAAATATCTAACCGGGCAAGGAAGTGTAACAAATTAGGTTTAAATCAAAATCATATCATTTCAACATGCTAAGGACCTTAGGTAACGTCTTGTCCTCCGGCTTCCCCACCGCTCCCTGATCTCCCAGGATGTGGTGCAGATGAGACCAGAGGGAGACAGTACGCTCAGAGCTGCCTGACAAGCGACATGCAGGGAGCAGGTCAGAATGGGTACCCAAGGGGTCATAATAAACCCAAAGGCATTTAAAACTTTTTCCTAAATAGGACACCTATTATTATTATTATCAGCAGCATATGGATCATCATTGTATCATTTCATGCTTAATCAAAGCCAGTGTTGGAATACAAAGCTAAATATCTGACTTAGAAAAGATATATATATATATATATATATATATATATATATATATATATTTTTTTTTTTTTTTTTTTTTGGTACTGGGGATTGAATTCAGGACCTTTCACTTGCCAGGCAGGCTTTTATGCCACTGAGCTATCTCCCCAGCCTTTCAAATTATATTGAGTGATAAAACAAATCACCATTAAGAACCCAAGAAATAAGCCACAATGATTGCTTCCCCGGGAGCCTCTATTAACTAGCACTGCCACTTTGAATAAGAACATCTAAAAACAACAGACATCTTGAACAGACCTAAACCAACTCACAGAGTGAAATGTAAGTACTGTTATTTTTTAGTTTGTGCTGTTTTAATTGCCTGCAAAGGGTTTCATTAAAAGAGACAGATCTGGGGAAAGAAAGAGGAACAGAAGCGACAAATAATACAGGAAGCATACTCTGGTGGCGCAGAAGTCCTGGCTGCTCAGCAAGGACAGAAAGCTGCAGCTGCACCTTTGGGGGCCTCGTGTCTCAGCCCCTGGCACTGAGGAAGAGCCCCATGGAAGGAGAGACAGAAAGCGTAACACCCAGGAAAACACCATCATCACTTCTGAGGACAGAAGTACGGCTTCCAATTCCATTTCTGTATCTAGATACATATCATGCACACAGCTTTAATTCTTCTCTTTGAACTGTGTGACTCCAGGGCCAAGTTCAATGACTGAAATTGCTTCCTCCAGAACATTCCTGGACGAGGACAGACAGACCGCTCAGGGGACCCGTCTGCTTGAGTCTGCAGCTTGGTTACGAGTTTTCCGTTGGACCCTCTTGTGACAACTCTGCAGCACACTGGGAGAGAAGCTGAGGCTGCCCCCCGTGGATCCAGGCACAGGGCACAGGCTCTGGCTGGGCAGGTGACTCTAGTGGGACAGGCCTGCCCGGCTTCTGGAAGCTCAGCGCCTTCCATGTGAGGCCAGGCCCCCAGGGAAGTATACTAGGAAAAGGCCAGGCTACAATTACAGGTTTATTCTTCCAGCTGAAACCAAATCCAGGAGTTCACTTTTGCCACGCAGCAAGTATTTACTCAGTAACAGCGAGAAATTAATAAGTGGAGAAGAGAAGTTCAGCTCGCGTGGAGAAGAAAGGCAGGCAGGAAGAGAGGCCCATTTGTAGGAAGATGAAATTTCGTGGGTCAGATAATAGAGACTGTCAGGGAAAATTGCTGATTCTAAGTCCTTCCTGGTATCAATTCCAAAGGGGAGAGAAAATGAGAAGGTGGTAAAACGGAATCTAGGGGGGATGGGGGCAGACTGCGGCGATCAGATGTCTGCTATACTTCATCGCCAAGCAGGCACCTCAGAAAGAAGAGAAAAGAAAGAAAAAGAAAAAGGACAGAAATAACTCGGTTCTTCAGGACACTGATCCATAGTCCTTGCTAGCCAGTAACTTAAAAAAGTCTAAACTTCTTTACTTTAATGATATTTTTCTAGCACAATGTTTCTAATTTAGCAAAGATATATATATATATATATATATATATATATATATATATATATATATATATATATATATATATATATATATATATATATTACACTAGTGAGTTCTCTTGTAAGTGTTGGTTTTCTCGCCACTAAAACAAAACAAAAACAACTAAGGACAGGGTTCAGGAACATGGCATATGAATGGTGTTGGCTCTACTGTTTTGAACCCCGAAATGGAATAAAGGGCCTAGAAAAGAATTATTCCTTTTGAATTATGAATAAGCATGAAAAGAACTTTATAGAACCTCAAAATGCAGGTACAAAATGCAGCTACATGAGCTGCAGGCACAATCCACGCTTTACCCGAGGGTCAGGATGGAGCGGAAGGTGCTCTGGACAGACAAGATGATAGCTGTAGTCACCACGGGAAGCCTGCTGACACCGTTCCCAGCATCCACCGTGTCAGATTGGGGCCCTCAGCTAAACTCAAAGGGAGTGTATTTTCAGGAGATTTGGGGGAATTTTATTTTTCATAAAAGAGATGATAAAAACTAGTGTTTTAGCAAACCAAAAAACCTTCTGAGAGAGGATCTCTGCTACTGGGAAAAACTATGAAGAGGACTCTTAAAATGGAAGGGGCCAGTGTCCTCTAAGGTCTGTTTGGGGACCCCTGAGGGACTGTCCTCTAGCAGGGTCACCTCACCCCACCCTATGGTCAATGTTAAGCCATGAGAACAAATGGGATGACTTTGACAAAGTCACTATTCTGGAAGCTGATCACTTGGGGCAATCTCACGGCCAAGGCCCAGGCTCAACCTGATCCTCCATGATGTAGAAGCACCATGAGTCACTTCTGAGACGTAGTATTGCCCACTCACACGCCCCACCTGGCAGCCGCCGGGCCCTGGGCATCCACTCTGGGCTTCTCCACGTCCTCTCTCTTCTTTTTGAGCAGCCAGGCTTTCTGACCATGCAGAGCTCGTGTCAGCCCAAGGACTGCTCAGCCACACAGGTGCTATACAGGAAGGGGACTGCTGGGGTTGCTGAGGCACAGAGTGGTGTTGTCCCCTTGGGTGTCAGGCAGATGGAACCATCGTCTGGAGCCCGCTAGGAGCCCAGCCCCCAGCTCCTCACTTGGTATACCTTTCCTCAGCTTCGGTCACACACCTGTCCCATTCAAGGGGCAAAGATGGGCACAAGAGCCCCGCCATTAACTAGCTGCTCTGTAATCGTCTATGCTCCACTTCCATGAGAGCTGTATTTACAAGTTAGGGGACCTAAGGAATTGCTAAACTGCCAAGAGGAGGGTAGATTTTCCATCTTTTGGCAGTTGGCTCTGATAGGACTCAAGAAGATAGAAAATAAAGGGTAGCCATGTCCTTACTTTCTGACTTCTATGCAATTTTATAAAGTTCTAAAAACAAAACAAAGCACCTCACCACCAAAAACAACAGCCACTATCACAGCGTCAGCATCTGGGGGAAAATGAAGGCCGTATTCTCACTGTTCCCAGAATTTGTGTTGGAATTTTCCCATCGGAAGCTGATACTATTAAGGAAACTACATTAAAAACAATTTCCAGCCTTTACCCGTGAAATGTCTCTCTTGATTACAGAGCCCTCTGAAAACAGTTAATTTAAATGTCACATAATTTAAGTGTCGGCACAGCCAACTTCGGGGATTAAATGCCAAAAAACCAAATTCTGAAGCCCACACACACTGGTCTGCCACTTTCTCTGCTTGATTAAAATTATTTAAGAGAGATAATTGCCTCTTATGGAAGTTCGATCCATGAGAGAACTTTCTAAACCTGAGTCAACTGCGCTTGGAAGCTATGGATAAAATGCAACTTGGAGGAGCCCAATTTGGGTGAGGTGAGGCCAGCGCTGCTGTGGGCCTGCCTCCTGGAGCTGGCGGCCCCATCTCCAGCTGCCCAGAGTTGTGTCTTCCCCCAGGATGCCTGCTCCTTGGGCCCTGCTCCCAGGCGTCCCCTTCTGCCCCAGGCAGGTGGTCTCCCCAGGGCCAGTCTTCCAGCTTTCCAGGAAACAGGATAGGCAGCCCAGGGGCCGGGCCTTGCCCAGAGGCTCTGGCTCCGCCACCCGCGGCTTCCCCAACTCCAGATCTGGAGTTTGTGGGGAAGTAGTTCTTGGTCTGTAAACATCGGCCGGTTTCCACGGTGAGCTCCTTCCTACCTCCCCTCCCCAGCTGTGCTGGTAAATGGGGTACAGCTAATCACAGAGGGTGTCGGATGCTTTTCTCTTGCCCCTAGGGACCGGCTTCCCAACTGCAGCTCCCCAAGTGGCCTGCGATCTGAATCTCATTCGCGGTGCTCTCGGACACCCCCATCCTCCCAACACCGGACTGCTTCTGGAAACCACCCTCAGGGTCTGCGCAGCGAACACACACCCAGCCCGGTGCCACGAGTCACCCACCGCAGAGCGCATCCCACTGTCCTCCCGGCGGACCTGGCAGAGACACGTCGGGCCGCGCGGGGCTGCACCGCCGGCCCCGCTTGGCTTTGAGGTTCGGAGCACCGAGCCCCGCAGCTTGCGAACCTGCCCCGGGTGTAGGTTCCCACCAGGGACGCCCCTCGAAGGACAAGAACTGGGGCGGCCGGACCCAGAGAACTCGCAGCTCGCTACCTGCCGACCCGCGCCCCCGCCGTCGGGTGGGAGGGGCGCCCCTCACCTTGGTGAACTTGACCTCCAGGTTGCGGACCGGGCGCGGCAGGGCGGGCTCCTCGGAAGGCTGCCCGTTCTCCAAGGCCCCGTTGGTGGTGGCCATGGCTGCTCCCGGCCGAGGCCCGAGTCTGCGGGCGGGCGCGCAGTTGGGCTCGGGAGGTGCGCGGCTCCTGGCTCGCGGGGTGACAGCTCCGCTCTGCTTTATGCAGCGCCCCACGCCTCCCGCCCGAGGGGGCGGCTAATTGGCTGCAGGACGGGAGGAAGAGAGGGCGGCGCGAGGGGGAGGGGACCGGCCCGCAGCACCCCACCCCACCCCACCCCACCCCACCCCGCCCGCCGCCCCTGTGGGCCCGGCCACCCCCGCCCGGCCCTGCGGTTCGGCCCGCGGCTCACTGGGACCCGGTGCGGCCTCGCGGCCGCGGTGCTTGCCCTCGGACCGGCTCTGCTAGGTCCCGGAAGTCCAGGCGCTGCCCCCCGCCGGCGCAGGCACTGAGCACCGGGTCCACCGCGCTCCCAGGCACCTGCCGCTTGGCCCTCTGCGACTCCTGCGGAGCCGACTTGGCCCGCGCCCTGCCGTGCTCCGGGCTGCGCTCGCAATGGGGCCCTGCGCCGCCTGGGCCACTGCTGCCCACGTGCCCGGTCTCGGTCTGCACTAGCCGGACGGGTGCCCAGGCCAGGACCGCCGAGGGAAGGGGACAGCTTGAGCCCGGTGGGCAGGAGACCCAAACTAAAGCGCAGCCTCTTGGCCTCTGAGCGTCACAGCGCACATAGCCCTTCAGCTTGGCGACCTGGGATGTAGTTATTTTACTTTTTAAATGCATAAATAACAACGAGATTTAAAATTAAAGCAAGCAAACACATGCGATCTTTGTTGCTAAGTATTTCCAGAGTTGAACCTCTTGTCCTGTGTGTGTGTTGCCCTGAGCTCTCAGGGACGCTGCGTCCACAGCCTCTAATTTTGCCAGTTTGGAACTGCTCCACGAATTTGCTCCGGGCCCCAGATGATACCCAGAAATGGTTTCTCCTGGGTACTGTCCCTTGGGCAGCTGAAACAGTGACCTCCCTGCAGAGGCAGGGCTTTGCTTCTCAGGTGGGCTCAGCCCTTTCGGTCTATCTGTCTGCAATGCAATCTCAATGAGGTTCTCTGATGGCTTCTTCTGTGGTAGGGGCCCCAGTGTTTACTTTGTTCCCTGCCTCACTGCAGTAGCACTCGTGTCCTGGACATCAGAGAAGTTTTGAAGCTTTGGGGAGACCCTCACCTGGTCACCTGGCCTGTGCTGGTGGGCTGGGAAGGGGACAGTGGGACGTTGGGTGGGGGCTGACCAACTGTGAATCTGGGGTCTCCTCAGTTCCACCGTGAAGCCATCTCCTCCTCAATGCTTGTGTGTATTTCTGGGCTCCCATGTAGTTCTGAAAACATCTGGGCTGGTGACTTACACCAGGCCCCCGGACTGGACGCTGAAGTCCAGCACTGGAGTTCCTGCAGGGTCCATGATGGCCCTCCCTGCAGAGGCCAGGGACCCAAGGCTGGGGGCCCATCAGGTGGGAGCCACTTGAGAAGTTTGGAAACAGCTATTGTTCAAGAGTTTATCTGGGATCCTGGACAGGTTGAATTTGTGTCACTTGGTCAAGTTTTTTTAAAAAGGTGAAAATTTATAGAGGAGATTGTGTTGGCTACATAATTGCTGGATTGGTGGTAGGGAAGCCTATGGGATGGGGACTTAAAGCTCTTCAGGATAAAAACCTGTTTGCTGGATAAGACACCCTTATGACCTGAGGCATCTGTGCCTTGGGGCTTACCTAGGGGCTCTGCCCACAAGCGACCACGTGACCCTGGGAGTCTGCGATCAGACTGGACCGCCCAGCCACAACCCTTGCCATAGCAGAAGGCTCTTGGAGAGCAGGTCTGGAGGGTGGGCCCTGCTCCAGGCTTGTCCAGGCCAGCAGGCTCCTCCTCTTCTGCTCCCTAGCCTGTTCCTGGCGGCAGCATGAAGGCGGGATGCTCCTCTCCCCATTGTACAGGTGAGTAAACAGAGGCGTGTCGACGCTTGCCCCAGACACCACCATCCAGGAGGAAGCAAGGGCAGGCTCTGTAGGGGAGGGTGGTATGCGGCATGAAGGCAGGCCGTTCCTACATTCCTCTATCCCATTCACCCAGGGAGTACTTGTTTTCCAAGAGAGCCCCATAAGGGCTGCAGAAGACACAGCAAAAGCTTTACACGTGCAAAAGAGTGGTGACCCCCCTCCCCACTGTGTATTTCCTAGGAGTCAAATCCATGGCATTAGCCTCAAAGGCAGTGACTGCAGGGGATGGGGCACGATGAAGAACTCATTTTGCTTTCCATGGGTCACTGGGTGTCTGGGGTGGGAGCTGCTGAGCGTGGTGGGCAGTGGAGGTGAGCTCTCTGAGGCGATGTCCCTGCCTCCGGTTCTAGCAGCGTGGCCTTGGGCTGGAGGCTCTCTTACCCCCTCCACAGTGTGTTGGGAGGCTTAAGCATGATAATGCCATGAAAGAGGGCTTTATAAACTGCCAAGTGCACCACACTCATCAGCTTTTCGTCTTCCTATTCTTCCTGCAGGCTGGCTCCTTCCTTTCGGCTTCATGCACGTCTCTCTGGCTTGTGGATACATTCCCAGCCGAAGATCCCTCTGCTGACTTCATTGTGAAAGAAACGGTCTTAGTTTTTGCTCAGGTCTGCAGAGCTGTGCTGCCTGCCGCCTGTCTTCTTGCTATGTCGATGGATCTAAGTCTAAGGCATTTCATAGTGAGGGCTGTTTGTTGGATAAACACTTAATAAAAATAATCAAGAATGAAAGACAAAGATAAAAGAGAAGTCAGAATCTCCCCACAGTTCCACCTGACCCCAGTTTTAAACCCTAAGAGTTAGTGGGCGGGGCTGAGTCCTATAGCAAAGGTAATTAATAACTATGATGAGGACAGCAGTAGGTCCACAGCATTTTACTTTCAGTGGCTCCTGGGCTGCTCTGAGGGGTGAGCAGGCCTCAGGATCCCCAGTATCCCAGAGCTGCCTCTCTCCACCAGGTCACTCATCCCCCACAGTGACCAGGAACTGAGATCAGGCCTTGAGACCTAGACCCATGGTCTGAACCTTTCTTAGAGAGCCAAACTCCTTTGGGGAGGGTGGATTTTTGATACAAAGAAGAAGGTACAGTTTTGAGGTGGCCTCTGGTGACTCAGGGCAGGCAACTGAACCTAAGTATTCTTGGCTATAAAATGGGAGCAATGGGTGCTATGGGACTGAGGGAAAGTTAGCTTTATTTTGAGCACCTCCCCATTGGCATCAATGAAGTAGTTTCTTTTTACATGAATTGTCCCATGTTTCCCATGGTTGAAGGAGTCACAGCTTACCTTTGAAGCCCCGTATAAATGAAGACCAGCAAGCCCTCTCTGCGCTAAATCACTAGTATACACTCAGGGGACATACACAAATCCATTCACCTGAGTCTTCCTCAGTGGGTTCCTCAGCTGTTTTTACTATAACAAAATACCTGAGACAGTCAATTTAGGAGGACAGTTCTCTTTCAGCTCGTGATATCAGAACTTTCAGTCCAGGACCTCAGCCCTATTGCTCTGGGCCTGTGGTAGGCATGTAGGACAGAGGAGGCCTGTTCACCTCATGGCAGCCAGGAAGCAAAGGGGAAAAAGAGGGGCCAAGGTGCCAATCTCACTTCAAGGCCATATCCCAAGTGACCTCACTTCCTGTTACTTCCTCTCTTTAGGGACCTGCCTCCTAAAGTTCCACCATCTCTCAATCATGCCCAAGGCTGGTGACACAGGGGCCTGTGGAGGACACTTCAAATTGGAACACTTGCTCTTAGTGATGGTAGCAGTGGCAGGAGCTGCCCAGGCAGAAAGAAGATGAGTGTTCTGATGTGACCAGGAGAGAAAAGGGGTAGCTGCTGTTGCTTTCAGCCATTTTCTCTTCAGCACTGCTGGCCCTGTTGGTCCCTGAGAAAAGAGTTTCCACATCCAAGTTAGTCTGAGGTAAATCGTACTTGTACACTGGCCAGAAGCAAACAGAACTAATTACACAGAAAGAGAGAATACATCACAATATCTGTTAGCCTGAACTCGAGTTGACCTCACACCTGTAGAGCCTTGTAGGTCATGTCTTCTAGAACTTTCCCTGATGTCTACCATCCAGGGGTTAGGAGGTGAGACAAGCCCAGGAAAAAGTACTGTGGACCAGGCTGACAGCCATTTGACTTCCCAATTTTGTTCTTTTCCTTTTCTTGTTCATGGAATCCCACATTACTGAGAGCAATGATATATTTTAATAAAACATGTATATCAGCTTCTCTTATAGACAGGGGTGATGAAAGAAATATAGGCTACAATCTTGATTTGAGCTTTTGTGGGGCAGCCAGTGGACAGGATCCTTTTCCTCCCAGCTGCAGGGACATAAACAGAGGGCCGCGCTCCAGCAGCCGTCTTGTGAAACAGTGCTGCTGAACTGAAAGTGACCTGGCTCAGTGGCCGCAGCAGACGTGCGGAGGAGCCCAGGTCTACGAAGAGTCTGGAGCCAGATCTGGCCACTCTAGATTCTCCCCCTTGGATTATTTTTCATATGAGCAAAAGGTAGGTTCCTGTTTTGTCAAAGCATCCCTTTTTGGTTTTCTGTTCTTTATAGCTGAACTTAATCCTGAACAAATCCTGTCACGTCACTATGGAAAGAGCAGCACACCGAAAGAGGTCTTACCCACATTGTATGATTTTGATTTTAACCAAGCGCCGTAACCATGCTGTGGTTTCTCTTTTTCTTTCTTTCTTTTCTTTTTCTGTTTTCTTTTTTGTACTGGGAATCAAAATCAGGGTCACAAGACGTGCTGTGTTTCTAACATGTTGTAACTTTTAAAATGAAGACAGAACTAACCCTACTACTACATGCTCGATGAAGCAGGTTCCTTGCCTAACTTCAGCTGCAACACCTACCTAGGATGTTGCCGTCCTACCTAACAGGGAGGAGCCCCTTCAGATCCAGGCCGGGAACCCACTGTCCTGTGGTGGGCCCAGATGTTAGCTGCTGAGGAAAAGTACGAATGCTCCGAGAGCAGGGCAAGGCCTGTGTCTCTGGCCAGGGGCCTGGCGGATGCGTGGCCAGGCCAGCGCCCCATCGAGGCAGCCAGACTTTTGGTTTCAAAGAGTATAAAATGTCACTCGGTGTAATCACAACATCTCTCTGATAGCACTCTGTCCTTCTCCATGCCAGACATTCTCAGGGACAGGAGGAGTTGTTTGCAGCTTGTGACCTTTCTCAGCATTCAAGGACTCCAAAT